ATATATATACATATATATATATATAAGATATATATATGTATATATATACATATATACATGTATACATGTATACATGTACACACACACACACACTATTTATATATATATATATATATATATATATATATATATTTATATATGTATATATATATATGTATATATGTATAGATATATACCGTAGATAACATTCATTTATATTGTGCGTATCATGTGATGTATTGATCTGTGCACTTCTTTGGACCCCTCGAATGTCAGCTGCAGATAACGAACTGTGTTATCTATTGCATTAACTTAATTCGTGATGTTGTCCAAACAGATAGCAAATATAGCAGCTGAAGGCGATCATTTGGTATCGCACGATCAATTAAAGTCGGTCTATGAACGCCACTTTACGAGTTCACAGTGATACTTCTGATCCGCGTGTTCTTGCATATCATGTTAGTACTTGACTCATTGTGTATAATTCAAACGTCGGTACTCGATTTTGCACCTATAATCATTTCTCGTTGGACTATGTTTGTGCAGACCGAACCGAGCGTATCAGCGGGTGATCAGTTGCCATCATACGGTGAGTTAGGGACAGATGAGCACAATTTCAACTATGGACAGTTGGGGGCAGATAGTAAGAAGAGAGAGGCTGCCCCTGCATACAATCCTCCCGTGAAGACGAAGGGGAAAAACGGGAAAGAGAGCGCCCCGCCTGAATACTACTCCTCAGAAGGGTATGTATGATCTATCAGCATCTGTTTGTATTTTACATATTGGTCGTGTCTCTATATATGCGTGATGCGTACATGCAAGTGCTGGACTGTGGTGTTGTGGAGTGTCACTGCGACAATGGCACCATTTAATACATATATGTATATGTATATTCATACACATAAGGAGGGACATTCATTGCGAGAAAAGCATCATTGCGAGAAAAGCAACAGTTATTAAATACATGTATATATATACATATATGTACACAAACATGGGAAGAGTCATCCTTTGAGACAAAAGCAACAGTTTTCTACATTTATGTATGTATATATTAATACACATAGGAACGGTATATATATATATATATATATATGTATATGTATACACTGAAGAAGGGGAATTATTGGTTACATCGGGCCCAAAGGTTATTGAGCGTTGGATACGCATGCCACGGATGTCAATCGTGTGCAAAATGGGGGTTCTTTGGTGAATATCTACTTCATGTGCGGACTTGACAAATCACAGTGGTATGATCTTACGATGCCTGTACGCGGGTGCTCTATAAGTGTGGCACCTTGCACTTTGCTATCTCATATCCTCTATCAGCTGATTGTGTCCATGACTGTCGATACCATTTCTCATTCATCTACGCAAATGACTATCCATGGTTTGATGCAGATGGGGCGATGACGCAAACAACGATTTTGAAGCGAGCACCTTCCTACGCGCTGTGATATTCGAGAATCAGCGGTGGTATCCGATTGTGGGATGGAGTGAGACTGGTCCAATGGATAGACGCAACTACTCGAGCGGAGATGGTAGTCGTGGCAGTGGTGGCAGACCTAAGATCACGAGGGTGAGTGGTATGGTGGTGGTGTATGAAATCTGCGTTCTCGCATATTCACATAGATATGTGTATATATACGTAATATGTATATATATCTCACTATTATTCAGGTTTGGGATGTATTAAAATTAGTCTTATCGATAGACGTATTTACTGGGCAGGTGATGGTAGTGGTGGTAATGTGGCCGATCTTAGATCACAAGGGTATGTAATTGAGTGGTAGTGAATGCAATTCGCGTTCTCATGTACATATATCTGTGATTTTACACACACACACTCACTCACACACACACACACACACACACACACACACACACATATATATATAGGGTATTTAGTTGGGTGGTAGGGAAT